AATTTTCATATCTCAGCAAAATAGTTTGTAAAATCCTATCATTTCTACTTATGTAAATAAATATTTTAGCTTTATTCTTGTGTTAAGTCAAAATATAGAAATAAACTAAATGAAGAAACAGATTTAAGATTGTTTGATTTTTAAGCCAAATATTACAAACCTTTGTTCAAATGAAAATGTTCAACATATAAGCTAAATTTATAGGTCATTATTCTATTATGCAAACATCTTCCAATTTGGAACTAATTTCATTAAAATGTTATTTACATTCAACAGAATCTGTAAAATAAAGAAATTTAATATGAAGTCTTATAGATAATAGTAAACATTTCCTGCTGAATTGTTTCTTTTAATTCTTAGAGTGCACCATATAAAATATTTGTAATTACTTTATATCTTGAGTTTATAATTTTGTATATAAAGTTTTTATAATCACAAATAAAATAACACTCTATCTTTCTAATTATATAATTTAAATCGTAATGTGTATTTTAATGTGTAATTAAATGTGTAATTTGAATCTTAATAATAGCTTTTGGGAGTAATATTTATCATTGTATTTAATTTAAGTATTCAATTAATAAATCCAAAGGGATGTTATTAGCAATATATTCAATTACCCTGCGGGTTCATAACACATATTTTGTTGTTGTTGTTGCAAGGGGTTTGCAAAACGAAAGCATTGGGAACTACTGAGTCATAGATCAAAATTCAATCAGTTATTTTCAGAAATTCAGAGTTCAATTTTGAATCACAAGGTGGCACTCTACTTGGTCTGATCCCTTTCTAACAGAATTCCTCATTTCAGCAGGTTGCACTATCACTAGTGACCACTAGAGGGTGGCCTCATTTATATGCATGACAACTCAATACCTATAAAGACAAGTATATTTATGAACAATTCTTATTCTACATAAAGACACAAATCTCATAACATACACTGTTACTTTCTTGGATACATACAAAAGTATATAGACTTTGAAGCCCGATGACATAGCACCTGTACACACACCCTAAAGTCAAGAAGGGACTTCACAAAAGGAAACTATAAAGAGGAAAGGGGATCATTGCCTTTTCCCTCCCTTTATTCTTCGCCCCTGCCCCACCTCAAATGCAGACTCATTGGAACTGCCTATGCTGGCTAAAATTCAGCAATCTCCTCTCCATAGTTCCACAATCATCTCTACCTTCTCTGTCTTGCTTCCTTGCTTTTCATTCTTCTACCCACAAGCTCCTTTTCCAAAGGGTGATGAGAGGAGGGTCAGCTTGGGAATCTGGGGGCTGTCTATACAATAGGTTAAGTCTCCTGAAGTCTCTTTGTCCATTTCAGGTGTGGCCAAAGACAGACAAAGTCGGGGATATTGAGGCATAGCAGAAGAAACATAGAAAGTGAGAGTCAACACTCAGATTCTGGTGGCCTTGGAAGGAATAAATTCTTATATCTCCTCACCTTTCCTGACTCCACCCTGAGATGTCTCATTAGTATCCAAAGATGCAGAGTATAAGGAGTCAGGACAAGAGCTCTAGATGCTGAGCCCTATTGCACTTCCTGAGGTCTTCCTGAGAATAGGTCATTCTGTGGGGACAAAGCAATATTCAAGCCTCTAAGAGAGATAAAAGGTAGGTTATTTACATTACCTTCTAAATCAAGCCATATTTCTGTTTCCTCACCTCTACTACTTCATATCCTACTTCTTCACACTTTTCATCATTGATTCCTCCCATCTCAGGAAGGAAAGTGGCTCTTGTGAAGACTAAAGTCTCCACCTGTGCCATAGATTTCATGACTTTTCACCTCCTTGTTCTGTCATCAGCCTTCTTCCCTTCTTTCTCTGAATGTTCTTATTTGACAATTACATTCATTTCCTTGGGTTCAGCCACCACTCCTATACAGATGACTTGCAAATTTTTGTTCTAGACACATCCTCTCTCTTGACCTCTAATTGGAAGAAAGAATGGAAAAAGGGTGGGAAGAAGAGAGAAAGAAAGGAAACAAGTATTCATTAAGTACCTACTATTTGCTAGGCACTATGCTATGTGCTTTACAAATATTATTTCATTTGATCCTCCCAACAACCCTGAGTGGGAGATACTACTATCACCTCCATTTTATAGTTGAGGAAACTGAGGTAGAGATAAGTCAAGTGACTTATTGGGAGTAATACAGCTAATAAGCATCTGAGGCCAAATCTGAATTCAGGTCTTCCTGACTGCATATCCAGTGCTACCTAGCTGTCAGTGGACTTCTACATGTGACATCCTGCTAAAATCTCAAATTCCACATGCAATCTGTACAAAGCTGAATTTATCATATCCCCCTCCCTTAATACCTATCTCAGATCATCTATTTCTGTTGAAGACACCACTATCCCTCTAATCATCCAAGCTTGAACTTTCAGCCTCAATTTTTCATTTTCTCTTTCATATTCATGTCAAATCAATTTGTTAGGTCCTCTCAACTTTACCAGCACAGTGGATTTCTCATCTCTTCTTTCCTCTCCATGCCCTTGCAAACATCCTATTTTAAGTCCTCATTACCTCTCTCTAGAACTATTGAAATGTTCTTCTCGCTAGTTGTTCTGCCTCTTGACTAATTCCTTTCCAATCTATCCTTTACTAAATTGCCAAAATACTCTCTCTAGAACAAGGTATGATGACTTCATTTATCTGCTTTAAAAATCTTATCTTCATTGGCTACCCATCCTTTTCCAAATGTAAATTCTTTCACCAGACTTTCAAGCATCCCCACCACTGGCTCAATCTATCCTCTTCTTTAAAAACAAACAAACAAGAACTCTTACTTTTATTTATTTTGTTAAATATTTGCCAATCCATTAAAACTAATTTAACATTCATTTTTAAAATTTTATGTTCCAAATTCTCTCCCTCCATTACTCCTCATCCCTTGAGAAGGTAAATAATATATCATTCATGACTTTCTACTTGATTTAGTTCCCCACAAGCACTTTCTATTTTGGTTAAACTCAACTATTCAATGTTCCTTAATTTGTCCTGCCCTTTTCCACCTTCTTATTCATAGAGACTGCCCCTGCCCCTCAACTTTGTGGAACTCATTCCTTCCATATCTCCACATATTAAAATCTTTCCTTCCAGGCCCAAGTCATTTTTATCCCCAAGATACAAGTGTTCTCTCCCTGCTCAGATTTCTCAGTGAACTTTCTTAGACTACTCTTATTATGCATCACATTTAGTTATGCCATAATTACTTGTGTATATGTTTGACCTCCCTTACTAGATAACAAATTCCTCAAAGGCAAGAATTATGTGTTTTTCAGGTGAGATAAATTATATAAAGTGCTTTGTATGCCTCAAAGTATTTTATCAATATAAGCTATTATTATTCACAACAACACATTTATGCTTTCCTGAAAAGAATACTTGAATCAGTGAGAAAAAAAAAGGTTTCCATTTTTCAGTAAGACATTGAGGCTATTTGAGGTTCAGTGCTTTTCAAATGATTTTGCTAATCAGTGTATGAGTTAAGATTGAAGCCCAGCTCTCCAAATACCAAGGCCACATACGTTTTCTTTATCTTAGTATCCTATGTTTTCCCTTGGTGTCTGTGTTTTGCACATTGCATGGATTTATTAAATAATGAAATCTTGAATTTAATTGGCAGTCACTAGGCCAGTGAAGTCCTAAGTAGATTCAATATAACATGCAGAAATTGTAATTCATAGTACAGTGGTAAACATCATCTTGATTGAAAATTTTGCTAACTTTTCTGTTCCCATTTGTGGTTCTGATGAACAAAGCTACAGACACTGTAAAAAGAAGGGTACTGGGTCATTTTTAATGCCATCACCCAAGGAATAAATGGTGTTTTCTTCTCCATATTAGGCACTTTGTCTCTTCACAGTTCTCTTCCTTGGTGGACTATAGACACATCCCCTACTCAATAACCATTGAAGATGCACAAATCCTATATAATGGGAACAAAGAGAAAGTGAAACATGATTCTTAAATGATGGGAATATTAATATGAGCATTCTCAGGCTAAAACTATATAAAATTCTATAAGGTATGGCTTAGCTGCATATACATCTCCTTTACCTCCCGTCATTATATTTGCCAACTTCTAAGAGGTCATATCAACTACTCTCAACCCCAGACTCTATGTAATAAATACACAACAGATAAGGACAAGAGATTCTTTGTTCTCTACAAAAGGGTCAGTGATAAATGCCCAGGGCTGGGATAAAGGTTGAAACAACTTAATGGTGTCATACAAAAGACTAAACTTACAGTTGATGGTCCAGAAGGAATACTGTAACATTTAGGGGCCTGTATGTAGCTATATATATTGCACAACTGTGGAATCCAGCTTTTTCCAGTTTTACAGATAAATATGATTTCTCAGTTCTACTTAGATCCTTTCTTTCACAGTGCCTTGGTTCAAATCTCACCCCTGCCTCATATCATCTGTGTGACCTCGGGCAAGTCATTTCACTTCCCTATGTTTTAATTTTCTCCCCTTTAAGATGAAGGAGTTAGACTAGATGATGTCTAAAGTTTCTTCCAGCTCTCAATCTAGGATCCTATGATACTACCCACACACCTACCTTAAATCCAATATGTCAGCCAAATCACTGTGAGATTCCTCCCATCTGCGATGTGATGTCATAGCTAACAATACAATGTAATCCTGAAAAGAGTAGCTTTGTCTTCACATAACAAGGGAGGCTTAAGGACATTGAATATTTACTTGGTCTTATCTACCACCAAATATTTCCCAAGAGCTTAGGTCTAGAAAACCAAGGTGAATGCTAAGGGGAGACCCTGTAGTCAATCAAGAGAGCTTACTCAGGGAAGCACTGACTGATTTGGCAGGTGGGATACATATAATTTACAAGGACAGGCGTCTTTGGGAAGAGGAATAGTCATAGAGGAGGCTTAGATATGCAAGTGGCTCAGTACACGCTAATAAGCAGTCACCAATTTGTCCTTCGCAGTCAAGAGCCATCTGACCCCAGATAACAATGGCCCCATTCAACAGGAGCAGCTTCAATCCAGCCCTCCCTTCACCCTGACGGGCATTCCAGGGCTGGAAGAGTACCACATCTGGATGAGTATCCCTTTCTGTACCATCTACTTTGTGGCCATTGCAGGTAACTCCATCCTGCTGTACCTCATCACCATACAGCATAGCCTGCATGCACCCATGTTCTATTTCCTTGCTATGTTAGCAGTCGCTGACCTTGTCTTATCTACCACGTGTGTTCCCAAAACCCTCAGCATATTCTGGCTTGGCCCTCAGGAAATTGCCTTCCCCAGCTGCCTCACTCAGTTGTTTTTCCTCCACTATAGCTTTGTCCTGGACTCCGCCATCTTGTTATCAATGGCATTTGACCGTTATGTGGCCATCTGTTCCCCCCTGAGATATACAGCCATCCTGACCCCCCGAGTCATTGTCAAGATTATGGTGGGAATCTCCTTCAGGAGCTTCTGTGTTTTTGTCCCATGTGTTTTTCTGGTAAAAAGACTGCCTTTCTGCCGTACACACGTTATCCACCACACATACTGTGAGCACATTGGTGTGGCCCGGCTTTCTTGTGCTGACATCTCCATTGATATCTGGTATGGTTTTGCTGTGCCAATTATGACTGTGATTTCAGATGTGGTCCTTATTGCCATCTCCTACACACTCATTCTGAAAGCTGTCTTTTCCCTCCCATCTCGTGATGCTCATCAGAAGGCTCTAGGCACCTGTGGCTCCCACGTCTGTGTCATCCTCATGTTCTACATACCAGCCTTCTTCTCTATCCTTGCCCACCGCTTTGGGCACAATGTACCTCTCACATTCCACATTATGTTTGCCAACCTCTATGTGGTCATCCCACTTGCCCTCAACCCAATTGTCTATGGAGTGAAAACAAAACAGATAAGAGAAAGGCTTTCCTCTTGTTCTCTCTGAAGCACACAGAGTAACATGGAACTGGAGACAGAGTAATGGTTGGGGGAAGCTGATGTGTGAGAGCCAAAGACTCAGTTTATGACTGGTGAATATAGAAAGTATGCCTCCATGCTTCAGGAATCTATAATTTCATTGGTATGGTCACTCTTTCCACTCTTCCAGGTCACTTAATTCACTCATCTGGTCATTACACCAAAGTGAGCATTTTACATAATCCTGTCACTAAAATAATGCAAATTGTTTGTCTTTTCTTCTGAAGAGGACCAATAGCATCATAGGACGCTCGGGTGCTGCTTGTTTTCCACCTTTTTGGAAATGGCTAATAGGGCATGCTTTTCTAAGTTCTATCTCTGTTTACCTGCTTTATACATACATATATATATGTGTGTATATATATATTATATTATATATATATATATATATATATATATATATATATATATATTGTGTGTGTGTGTGTGTGTGTGTGTGTGTGTGTGTGTGTATACACCTGTGTATGTGTATATTTTATGGAAGAATACATCATACATACGCACATACATACATACACACTTATTATCCTATAAGATACACATATATATTCAGATAGTCTAACCCCAAACACATCATCATCATCATCATCATCATCATTTTAGCTCATAATCACCAACCTTCATGAAGAAAGAGACTTTCAAAATACAGAGAATTGGCTGGACAGATGAAAGTGTGGGAGAACAGGATGAGGTTCCAATCATCTCCGAGGTCCTGTGCACCACTAAATGAAAGAACGATACATTTGTAAGTATGATGTTAGAAGCACTGTGCCAAACAGCAGGATATAAATAGAAAAATGAAACAATCCCTGCTCTCCAGAAGGTCACATTTTAAGAGGGAAGACAACACATATGGAAGGTTTCAGCTGCAAGTGAGATGGAAATGCCCCATGGATCTTAGGATACAGGAGCAAAGTAGATGTTAATTCAGAAAATGTCTTCAGTGAGCCTGTGAACTCTTTTGCTCAACTCTGGGAAGTGGTTATTTTCTCCATCTGTACAATAGTCCACAGAACACTGAATATATAAGAATATGAAAATAATAGCAGAATAACAGGTTGTTCCAGCATTGTTTCTATCTGAAGCCCTTTGGAAAAAACATTAAAAGAATAAGATAATGGTGATGATGATGATGATGATATAGTAGCTTATAGTTACATTAAGGTTTGCATTAAGGTTTGCAGTGAACTTTTCCTAAATTATCTTATTTGATCCTCATAACAACTCTATGAGGTAGGTGCTATTATTAGCCTCATGTACACAAATACATACAGTAAACAGGCACGTGCACATAGCAAGATAGACATATACATGGAAATATTTCATATACATATTACCACATATAAACACAAGTGCAAATCACACATCAACACACAAAGTCAGATTACACATACTCAAAAACAGGAAAGAGTATTGAGTTTGGAGTCAAAGGTATCGAGTTTGAATTATGGCTCTCCTACCTAATTCTTGTGCAACCTTAGACAAGACATCTTACCTCTTTGGGTCAAAGTTTCCTCATCTTTAGAACAAGAAGATTAATGTGGAATGGCCCAACAAGTTATGATATATGATCTTAATGGAAAACTATTGTGTTCTAAGAAGTGCCAGGCAGGCTGATTTCAGAAAAAACCTGGAAAGATACACACTAATGCAAAGGGAAGTAAGTGAGCAGAACCAGCAGAACGTTGTACATAATAAAGCAATTGTATGATGTTCAACTGTGAATGATTTAGCTTATATTGGCAATACAGTATGATCCAAGACTTTCAAAAGACTCATGATGAAAAATGCTATTCACCTCCAGAGAAAGAACCGATGGAGTTTGAATGCAGATTTATTCATACTATTTTTCACTTTATTTCTTGTGCATGTTTTGGGGTATCTGTCTTCTTTTACAACATGATTAACATGGAAATCTGTTTTGCATGATGGTACATGTATAAGCTATATCAAATTGCTTACCATCTCAGGGAGGGAGGTGGGAGGGAGGGAGAAAATTTGAAACTTAAAATTATTAAAAAATGAATTTTAGAATTGATTTACGTGTAATTGGGAAGAATAAAATATCATTTAAAAATGAGAGAATTGTGCAAGAAGTCAGTTCAAGATCTAAATCCTTGTCTTTTTTGGACATATACTAACACACTTTCTGATATTCCCTGATGCCCAAACATACTCTTGGAATCTGAGGATAAGTTAAAGCATTTAGCAAGCACCCACAATTTGGGAATATCTAAAGCTGTTTCCTGAGCATACCAACAGATTGGCCCAGCCAATATATCTCAGTGACCCAATTATTTCCATCCTTTGGTTCCCTTGAGCCAAAATAGATACAGGAAATGATGCTGGCTTTTTGGGCAATAAAATGGTTAATTTTTCTGATTTCGTGTGGCCTGAACTTCTGGGGTCCCAAGGGATATGGCTGGCTCTGCATGAACTTATGTCTCCTCACATCCCAGGGAATAAGCATAAACAGCCCCATGTCTGCCTTCTCTTTGAAGTGCAGCTGTCTGCTCCATCCACATTCTCATTCTCTGAGCTTCTTCCAAGACTAGGGCCTGGTAGGTAAGTGCTATTAGACAGTGGGAAAGTCTAAAAGCAAAGTAACAACAATATTGTTTTAAGAACAACTTTGTGTGACTAAGTCATTTGACTATTATAAATCCTCAACCTAACTACAAAGAACATATGAAGGAGGACACTATTTGCATCCAGAGAAAGAACTGATAAATAAAAGTGTGTATAGAATTTTACATATAGATATATATGTGTATATATATGTAAAATTCTATATATATATATGTATATATATACACACACACATATATATGTATATGTATACATGTATGTGTAGGTATAGGTATGCATATATGTGTGTGTATATACATATATACATATTTATGTCTAATGGTAGCTGTCTTATGGTGGAGGGAGGAGAGAAGAAGAAAGGGAAAAAAAAGAAAGTTACATGATGACTTTATTATATATATACTATATTATATATTTAAAAGGAATAGCAAGTTGTACATAATAGATCTGTAGTTTCATGCACCATCATCTTTTTTTTTTTCTATTCTACTATGTTATGGAAATGCTTGTTTTGTTTAAGTTCAGAATGAAATAAATAATTATTTTTTTAAAAAAAGCAGAGTTAACATTCAGGCTAGTAGTGGGGCAAAGTCCTGAGGGGATGAGAGGGAAATGAGAGGAGATGGATCCACCCTTCAACTTCTGTCAACTGATCTCGGTTTCAATTAGAGATCAGCATTCCAGAGAAATATCTGTAACATGAGGAACAGAGAACAGAGAAGAGAACAGGAAAGCTTCATGGGAAAGGGCTCTAACCAAGGAGTAGGGGAAGGACAGGTTAGGGCTTTAGTCAGTGGGCAGGGGTTCACATCCTTGCCCTGTTACTAGTTCCCTGCCTGACTTTGGACACATTCCATCTGTAAAATGAAGTAACTGAATTAACTTGTCTTGGAGAGCCCTTCTAGCTCAAAGTCCTGATTTCTCCTTGCTGAATCTTCAGGTAGTGGCCTTAGTATGTTTTTAGTGTATCTATTGAACCACATATGTGCTTATATACACATTATATATACACATTATATTTATAGTATGTGTGTGTGCGTGTGCACATGTGCAAAAACATGCTGGTAAAATTTTTAACTAGCTCCAAAAGAAAAGTAAAATTCACACACAATACACTTATAAGTTTAATTTGCATTATTAACTTTTTTCTATTGTTTTCTTAAATCTAGACAATCAACAAAAGGACAAATCAAGCCTTGCTGATCTCTGAGGTGTAAATGCTTACTCTGAAAATTTAACCACTGGCTGTCTTGCACAGGTTCAAGGGGGCTCCAGTATCACCTTTCAGATGCCTAACTGACATATTCTAGCTGTGTGATCTTGGGCTAGGCACAATCTCTCAGGAATTTAGATAAGGACATAAACAATAGAGTAGGTATTAACTTGAGTTGATGGAACTTATCTGGGAATTCCCTCCCTGTGTCAATGGTCTGGTCCTTCCCCTGCTTTATATAGCATTATTTCCAAGCAGGGGGTAGTGTAAATGACCTTGAAGATCATTTAATCCAATTGCTTCTTTTTCCTGAGGGAAAAAAAAAATGGAAACCTGTGGAGCTGAAGTGATTTACCTACAGCTACAAAGCAGGAGTCAAAATGAGAGCCTTTTATTCAGCATCCAGGTCTCCTTCTGCTGTTTCATGAGACTCCCTTTAAATCAAGGTGCTTCCTGCCAGAGGGGTGAAACAAGCATGGTTAGAGAGAGTTGGAAACCATGTTATTATCTTCCTCCAAAAACATTTTTCTCTTCTTAACATCCCTGTTACTGTCCAGTACACCATCTTTTCCCCAATCATCCAGGATCACAGGTGTCATCCTGTACTCCTTACTCTCCTTCACTTCCCTCATATTTAATCAGTTGTCAAATCATAATAATTATGTCTTCAGAATGTCTCTAGTACCCCCACACCCCTTCTTCCCTCTAATGCTGCCACCACCCTGGTGCAGGCTTGAACTATTACAGTTCCCTTCACAATGGCCTCCCTGCCCTGAGTCTCTCCCCACTCCAGTCCATCCTTCTCCCAGATATCAAAGTAAACTTCCTAAAACATAGGTCTGACCGTGTCACCTTCCCCCTTCCATCCCATTCAATAAACTCTAGTGGCTCCCTATTATCTAATGGAGCAAAGATAAAGTCCTCTTTTTGGTTTTAAAGCCTTGGCCCTTTTCTTCCTATACAGTCTTCTTATACCTTCTTTCCCTCCATGTACTCTCCTTATAATCTGGGGATACTGGCCTCCTTGGTGTTCTCTGCACAAGACAGCATCTCTAGCTGTCCCTCATGTCTGGAATGGTCTCCTTCCTTATCTCTACTTCTTGGTTTTCCAGGCTTCCTTCAAGTCCCAGCTAAAACTCCACTTTCTACAAGAAGTCTTTCCCACC